ACCACCTGCATAACTGTTTCCTTGATAATTTGTCCTGAAAGTCCTTCCTCCATGACTCTTGTTATCAAGAGAATTTGCATTCAAAGAGATTGAATCTGTGGGCATTCGACCAATAGGCTTAAATTCTCTTTGTTTTTCCTCCTGGATTAACAGTGAGAAAGCCTGTCCCATAGAAGGGAGTGGATTCATCATGAGGATATTTCCCCTCACTACTGTGTACACTTCATTTAGTCCCATAAGGAACTGAATCAAACGTCTATCTTGCTCTGCCTTGTGCATACCATCCTTTGCACCACACACACATACACAACTACATTGATTCTTCACACTCAAAGTATTCAACTCCTCCCACAATTTCTTCATCCTCGTATAGTAGACTGTGATGTCTAAGATTCCTTGAGCGAGATCATTGATTTCTTTTTGTATCTGGTACAGTTTTGCCCCATTAGTTTGGTCGTATCTATCCTCTAACTCCTTCCAAAGTTCAGCAGAATTATTCACATACTCCACACTATCTGAGATTTCCTTGATCAATGAATTTAAAACCCAAGATGTTACCATATCATCACACCTCTGCCATTGGCGCAATTGAGGCGAATTGGAATTTGGTTTCTCACAGCTTCCATCGATAAAACCCAATTTGTTTTTCACTGACAGAGCTCGCATAACTCCTCTTCTCCAGGATCGATATCCTGTTCCATCAAATTGAGCAGGGACAAGCATCATCCCTGGGCTATCTGAAGGATGCACATACAAAGCACTACTAGTGTCGTTTCCAGATGTGTTAGTTCCCTCAGATGTGGATACATTGTCGTCGACAGCCATGGATATACACAACAAAACTTATCGTGAATTACTTGACAAGAGAAGGAAAAGAAAACTGTGATCGAAACTTAGATCTGAACCAGCATAGAAGTCGAAATTCGTATCAATCGAAGATAACAATTCAAACAGCAATACAACCAACAGAAGACGAAGAACAGATCGACTGACCTTGCTCTGATACCATATTAAGAATTACACAGATGGTGAGAACTCAACCATAGATGAAACCATGGAAGCCATAACTGGCAACTGAGAGAAAGCAATAACAGAGAGGAAAATATGATTTGGTAAAATAAGAACTCACACCTTTCATTGATCAGTAGTGAAGTACTTATATACATGTGTGAATATACATCAACGAATATGCAGAAAGAGAAAATATCTAACTAACTAATTAGCTCTCTAACCGACTCTGACATCACTAACTAACTGCACTAACTAACAGAAAAGATGGAATCTAACTAACTGAATGTCATAATTAATACACATTTTAATCATGATTGTTAATAGGGTTGTTGCAACTCTGACTTTTACTTTGGCTTTCCTTCTGAGATACAACTAGAGTGTTGCTTCTATTGTTTGCAGGTTTAGGTAAAAATAAGTAAAATGGGAAGAGCTAAGATTGGTAAATCTGCAGCTACACCATCCGAGATTGCCCGATCATCCAGAAAACGTTTGGAGGCTGTGTCTAGAAATCGCTCCAAGGGTAAATAAGGTAGCATAGAAATCAGCCAGACCACCAAAGAGGTCCCGTGATGGACCCGAGCTTACTAATGATGAGGGAAAGAAGTGGTATAAGAATTTCAAACTACACGACCGCTATGTGTCTGACCAGGGTATTGATGAGGCGACCTTTAAGAAGTTTCCCAGAGTATTAGCATTATAAAAGAATGGGGTTTGGACTCTCTGCTGCATTCACATGATCAAAGAAGTATAAGCTAATTGGGATCTGTACCACACAGCAAATGACAAGTAACTGTTCAGGGAAACTTACTCCCCCCCCCCCACCTTCACCAAACACTTAGCTAAGTTCATCTGCGACTGACCTATAAGGATATTCATTATACTCTATGTGGGGAGCGATCCATAACCTTGTGTACCCGCTAAATTTAAAATAAAAATAATGATTTTAGCACTCTAGCTTGATTCGAACCCTTGTCTTGTAGGTGGTTCCTCTTCCTTGTACCAACACCATAAGAAGACTCCTATGCTCCTCATGGCTGCACCGTTTATTATATCCTAGTTTGGGCTAGTTTCTCAAAATAAATATACATATATACACATGATGTTTTTCGAAGTTAACAGGTGCACATGCACCCCCACTAGGAAGGGTAGGTCCGCCTCTGAGCCCATATAAGAACTTCGGTAACCTCTTGATAAAGTACATGTTGGCTTTGGGAGTTGCTGAGTAGTATGCGGGAGATAAGAGTATTCCAGCTTCTCAGGCTGTTTTGGATATCAACTCGGTGGAGGGTCTTGAGGATGATAAGATAGGCAAGCTGAGTAATGAGGAGAGACGTGCATGTCCCGAGAGCATATGAGTTTGCTTGTGTGGATGATGGAATTACATAAGTAGTCGTATATAAGCTTTAGCGGTTTAATCCTCTTTTGAAACAATAATAAAAATCACCCGGTGGGAGTATTTCATCCTTAACCAGAGGTCTCGGGTTTGAGCCCTGGGTATGGAAAAAATCTTGTTGGGAGCGTCACCCCCGAATGGCCCTACAGTGCGCGATCCCAATTTAGTCGGAGCTCCAATGTGGGCTCCGGACACCGAGTGGGAAACCAAAAAAAAAAAATGTTGAGATTCTATGGCTATGGAAAACTAACACAAATATTAACACAATTAAGATTCCGTGAATGTTAATTAATTTTATCGTATAACAGCAGCTATATATATGTACAAACTTTTTCATGTTACCTTCACCAATTGATATAAGAACTTTTAATAGGAGCAGTTTCAACTTCAAGGAGAAAAAGTAAACCACTTTAGTCTGTCGCAGGTAAAATCAACACACAGAATTAAACAGAGTTCAAAAGCAAATTAAACTAAAGATGTTCCTTGTGCAGGCATAAGGATTATTGGAAGCCTTTCTTCTGAGGTTTGAGAAGTTGACTCTTGTGCACGCAGAAAGTGCAAGTCACTGCCATTTGCAAGGCTATTGAACTCCACACATTTGGATGGCATTGTTGGGTAGCGTCGTTGGCAGAATGTCAGCAGTCTTTTAACTGAATACAGAAGCTTCCTTGTTGTCTCATCATTCATGACGTGAGCAACACTATTTGTATGAATCTTCTCACGCGCTGATCGTTCATGAATACCAACCATAGTAACACCAATAGGCCAAGGTGCATTACCAATTGCTATCTTATTAAGATATTGATCCATTGCAGCACTATATTCTCTATTCATACAACATTCAACCATCACAACTAATGCTTTCCTAATGTCAATATTAAGTAACTTTTTCCTGCATAAATCAAATAACGGATTCAAATCCCTAGCACACTGCATAAAAGTAGCCACCACTGTCTGGTTTTTAGCCTCAGAACTCATCTCATCAAGCTCTTGATTCCACTCATTCAACAGCTTTTTGTAAAACACCAAAATCTTATCCTCATCACACAAATCCTCAAAATTAGTTTTCATCCTCTTCAAATCTTCACCATCTTTATCCTGATCTGTGGCTTTCCGCTTCAACATCCGTGACTTCTTCAACTCCAAAACATCTCTCAAAAAGTCATTCGTTTGCCCTTCAGTCATATCACTATCCTCAACTTCAAACAATCCAGCTTTCAACACAAGATTCAACCTAGCAAACCTTGCCTCTTCATCTTCTCCGAATAAAGTTACAGGATGTTTCAAAACCCTAAGGCGGCGAACAACTTGTTGTAGCGGAAGGGAAACTAATGAAGAAGATTCCGATTTGATATTATCAGTTGACAAGTAAGATTTATGATTATTATGTTGCTGGGATTTCGCTTCTTCACGTTTTTTACTCTGTTCTATCTCTAATTTGTTGAAAAATTTACGTCGACCCACATATTGGGCTCGATTGTTCCGTAGCTTCTCTGTTATTTGTTTCACTTCCTCCATTGTTTTGATTTTGATTTGTGAATTTGCTTTGCTAACTTTTAATTTATTTAAAGAAGAAACAACGTCAAATCCGACTAGGAATAGAATTGGAAAGAAATAATAGGACTTGAGTAAAAAACCATGTAATAGATTCCTAAAATAATGAAAAATTTATGGGAAAACTATTAGAAAAAGATTCCTAAAATAATGAAAAAGACTATTAGAAAAAAGATTCCTAAAATTACTATAATCTTAAGCTAACTATAAAGAGAAAAGACATTGCCAAAACTCTTTAGGAAATAAACTAAGAACAGGAATCCTAAATAGTTAGGATTTGTTTGTCCTAATAATTCCTATAGTAATAGATTTTCTAGTTTAATTTTGTTTGTTAGTATTGTAAATAGGGGTGACTTATTACATATTTTCATATACTGAGATACAAGAGTGATTGTGTTGAGCGCAGTGTTCATTCTTCTACTGCTTAATACGGAAATTGATCTGAGAACATGAGTGATGAAAGAAGATTCACCCAGATTGTGGGAATGGTTCGAACCCTTATCATGAATGCAGTGAATATTGCTTCAATATAATAGCGGAAGTAAAGAAGCAAATGAGCAAAGCTGAAACAGGTGTATTGCAAGCTAATGCTGTTGATGTTCATCGCTCCGATGTACCTGATGAAAGAGATGGTGTTGAAAGTCACAGCGATGATGGAGAGGACAACATGGGAGAAAAATCGGCGACTCTGATCACAGGGAGGAAGAGGAAGTTATTTGAATTGAGGTTAAAAATGAATGGGGCAAGAAAAGCTAATCAATCTGCAATGGTAGTAGAGAAGAAGAAAACAGAAGTTCTAGCTACAGAGTCTAGAGGAATGTCCAAGTATGGAAAGGCGCCAAAATCATCAGACGACAAGATAGAGAGGATGGTGAAGGAGCTCAAGGACAGGGACGAGAAGCGCCAATCATTTAGTCGGAGGAGAAGGTTTCATGAAGAGAAAGATATTGACTCTATTAATGATCGTAACGAGCACTTCAATAAAAAGATTGAGCGTGCCTTTGGAAAATACACCTTGGAGATCAAGAATAGCCTTGAGAGAGGAACTGCTTTGCCTGATTGAGGTATTATGTCATGTCAACCTAGAGCAGTCTTTGTGATAACCTTTCGAGTAAATTTGTATTTTCTGGTTCTCTGGTTTGAACACACATTACTAACAAGTTCAAGAAAATCCCCTATGAATAACTTAATATGGTAATTTTATTTTCTTTCATAGTAGCCACTATTTTGCTAATTCTTTGAACTCGCATATGACTTTCTATATGCAATTCATTCATTGACAAGTAAAGCAAAAAGAAACAAAACAAGTTAAAGAAAATCCCCCATGTTGTAATGTTAACATCCCCTTGTACACTTATTGATGGGTGATTTAGGCAACCATATGCCAAAGTTTTTGCCAGGTTCCTCCTTTTTTTTTACTTACAACAATGTCATAATTTTGGGTATAACATGTTTCTAATCCTAGTCTTTATATAATAAAGGAACCTTTTAAAAAAATAAATTGAAGGTGCACGTTACCATAACCTTGCCTTGAGGGTATGGATTCTGATGCACTTTTTATCATGCAAGTGAAGTTAAAATAGAAGTAAACAATAAGAAGAATTGATGAAGCTAATGACTGTTAAAGGTGATTCTTATAAACTAAGATGTAGAAGCAACAGAAACACTCTTTGGACAGATCAAACTCCATACAGCCTAAAAGCAAATGTAGAACATTTTGTAAAGAATTTGGCTAGAAGCTGAACAAAGAAAATGTCAATTAGTTTGCCAAACCGAAGAAATAGAACATATCAAAAGTGATGATAAAACAGGGATTTCAAGTCCTCGGTTGTTAATTTTCCTAAGGCCTCTGAAGAACCACCAACTGTCCTGCAATCATAGGAAAAACGAACAGTTAGGGGAAAATGGTTTTTTACAGAAAGAGCGGAGGAAGGGATGTAATAAAAAGATTGACACTAAGCTGAAATGCAACAATGGTACGGGACACTAATTCCTGCTGGAACTGTCAAACATATTCTAAATAGACTCAGAAAGAAGAACTGGCAACAGTTTCACAAGGAACTTATTGCTGCATTGTGCAGAGCAATGATATACCAGGTTTGGAGAGCAAGGAACTGGAAATTGTTTAAAGGCATCACTGTAAATACAGATACGGCCATGACACAAATTATGAAGGAATTTGTAGATAGACTTGTGGTAGTTAAACGGTCTAGAAAGGCGAATAAGTATTGTTGGTTGTTGCAGAGATTTGTGTAACTAGAGTTCTATAAGAGGCTTAACTCTCTTAATACCCTTCTTAGAGGGTGATTAGGAGATTGAGTGCTCTTTAGGTGTATTGTTTTTTGTTTGTTAATGGTAATTTACATTGGTCACCAAAAAAAACTTGCAAGGGAAAATCATCAAAATACTTTATTTTTGTCAGAAGACAAATGCAACTAACTATGTAGACGACTATAAGAAAAACACACTCGCCCTTCAAAAAGTAATTTCTTCTTCTCTTGTAACTCTAAGATTCTCTCTTCAATTGTATTCTCCATCACAAATCTCACAATCCTGCAAATTTGAAAACAACAATAAGCTCCATTCAGTGACATCCAAAGTAGAAGAAATACAACACACACTTGACTGGTTTATATTGCCCTATTCGATGAATTCTATCTTGGGCTTGCTGCTCCACCGTAGGATTCCACCAAGGATCCGTTAAGAAAACCTAGCAAAGATCAACAGATGAGCCACATATCATGTGCTTATTCAACAGATAAATACAAGTCATCATTGTATATTCAATGAACCAAATAACAGGAACCTGAAGAGTGGTAGATATGCACAAGCCTTCAGAATTTAGAGCAGTTCACAGAGAAAGAAAATATATACTTGCATGTGATGCAACTGTAAGATTGAGAGCAACACCTCCTGCTTTCAAGCTCATAAGCAATATCTTGCAATTTGCATCCTCAGTGAATCTTTTAATTGCAGCATCTCTTGTGGCAATAGACATGGATCCAACTAATTGAACACAATTGATGCCCGTCAGCAATTACACACAATACAAGCTTCTTTTTTGTTAGTCTGAAAAGAGGAAGGGAAAGTAGGAAGGAGAAAGTACATTATGTCTTACATTAAGAGAATACTGTATCAGGTCCAAAAACGATGTGAAATGGCTAAAAACTATTCCTTTTGCAGAACCGTCCCTTTCAACCATGTCACTAATTTCTTCCCTCTACATTCGATACAAGTAAAAAATGAGCTAATTTCTGAAGAATTTAGAGCGGTTCACAGAGAAAGAAAATACAAGATCATGAGCTCACACCCCTTGCTCTCCTTGTGAAAAGGAAAGAAACCCATAAGACAAAGAAGAAAAGCAAGCTGAGGAGGATATGAATTATGATGAATGCAATTGCATACCAATGCTTCTATTTTAGTGCTTGTCTTGAATTTATCAAGCTGAATTATGTTCAATATACTTGAGGACCTAAACCCTTTGACAGTAGGTTTAGAACTAGAATCTCCCTTATCTTTATTTCCAGTGAAGTCAAATGTGAGGGGTTTGGTACATGAAGGGCATGGCGTTTTCCTCACACTTTCAGATAAATATATCGCACAGGCCTTGCAAAACACGTGCCTGCAACAAGTAACCTGCAACAATCAAAAAGAGATGCACAGTTCAAAGAAGATTCTGTCTAATGTATAAGGACTCTATACGAGAAGTACTTTTGATAAAATCTCTATGTCTATGCTGCTAGAAAGAGAGTATCCCAAATGCTCATCCACTTCATGAGAACTCCAACTATTTTTAAAGAGTGTACATACAATATTCAGACTGACAATGAGCAATTGAAAGGTGCTCAATGTTCTTGGACCTTGAATGTAACACCCCGAATCCGAAATAGACCAAAAATGCAGATTTTGAGAAGTTGCAGGTGCAACTTACGGTCACCATCCACGGACCGTAGGTCAGACCACGGCCCGTGCTGGTGGTCTGTGGTTCACCACTGCAACCCCTCCCCAAACCAGCTCAGAAAAGTCGGCTAAGTCCCAACTCACGGTCCGTAGATCAGACCACGGTCCGTGGTCTGTGTCCGTGGATCGAGACCTCCTTTACCCAGACTCTGACACAAACTACGGTCGACCAGAATGGACCGTCATTCAATCCACGGTCCGTAGGTCTGACCGTAGATGAGGGTCAGCAGCCAGTTAGCTGAAAATTATTGATGGGTCAACTTCAGATGGTCATAACTTTTAGCACAAAAGGAATTATGTGTCCCATGACCTATTATATGATAGATAATTGAATTCTCTTTCCAACGCCACCGATTTTGCTAAAATATGACCTCCGAGTAAAAAGTTATGCTCGTTTTAGTGAAGCCCTGTTGGGCAGACTCGACCGACGACTCCAATTGACGGACCGTCGATTGACCTACGGCCCGTAGGTCCAGTCCGTCGGTCACTCCGACAACAATTAAGTTAGGGGTCTTTTGGTCTTTTCCTATTTCGTTTAACCCATAAGGTACGTCGTTTAGACCCTAAATCATGAGGTTTTAGTTGGTTTAGGCCTAGAAACATAACTAGAACTTATCTAAGTAAAATCATTAATCAAAATTTAGAAAATTAGAAGCAAGAGAGGAGGAAAAGGTCAAGAACCCTAGTTCAAGAACGCAACAAGTTTCTTCAGTTCCAGCCCAGAAATCAAAGGATTTCTCTGTGAAATTCGTCACCAGGTATGTGGGATTTCACTAGTGGGTTCCTTTCGCCCATTAGGTCCCTAGAATTCAGTCAGATTCTTGATTCCATGATTATGAACAGACCTAGGGTTTCTAGAATTACAGCAGATCATCATGAATTAGCTATTTAAATGTTTCAAATCAGATTATCATGTTATTACATCGTTTCTCGCATGAATTTTAGAACCCTAGCTAGGTCAGATATCTCAGTTATTCAGTTATACATGCCTCAGTTATTAATGCATCATTATCAGATTAATTGTTGCATTCTCAGTTTGCATGTTCAATTTTGAGCTATCCAGTATTTTACATAAATTCAGTCATAACTAGTTAACCACTTAATTCATTGGGAGTAGCATAATACCGAGTTGGACTTGGGTTCAGCGTACCCATATAGTCCCAGAAATACAAGCCACGTAGGTGTAAGTCCCCTCTGTGGGCAACATCAGTTTAGTGATCACGCCAGCATGCCTCTATACCTCTGGCAGGGTATATTGGGTCCTCTCGATGGGGCGTATACATCGGACTCCACATTTAGCTCATGTGGTTTTATGTCGGTTATTAGTAGCTCCCACAGTTCAGTCAGACTCTATTGCATTGACCACATTTACAGTTCATTCAGTATTCAGTCAGCATGTTATAAATTGGTCATTGCATTCAGTTAGTTCAGTATTAAATATCTATATCATGTTCAGAGTATATCATTGCTTTACCAGATTAATTCATTGCTTTATTGCATTGTTCAGTTATATGTTATTTCAGTTTTACTCTATCCTGCATGCTCAGTACCTTTCAAGTACTGACGCATACGTGTGCTACATCTTCTCGTGATGTAGGTTCAGGTTCTCAGCATCCAGATCACGCTTAGATCGGTTCCCGATCTCCAGTTCAGCAACATCAGACTTAACTGGGGCATGTCCCAGCACTTCTAGTCAGTTTAGAGGCTTATTTCAAACATAGTTAGATTCAGCTTAGTATTGAGTTAATATCTTCTTTGTATTAAACTCATCAGTTTTCATTTATCTCAGTTATAATATATGGGTATTCCCCATCTTTTCATTTTTATTTATGATTTAGCTTTTGCATCAGTTTATTATCTTTAGTCTGCTCATGATCATGCCAGCAGGGTTAGCTTGGGATCACTTGTGGTCCTAGGTCCCATGTCTGCGTCTCGGGGGTAGCTCTGGGCGTGACATTGAATGGCAGCATAAAAATAATTTAGTAATGCAGAAAACGAGAGAGCTATCAAAATTGAACTTCAGCTGAGTAACATGTTTGATATCTGTTTCTTTCCTTTTCTTCTCTCTCTTTTCCTATTTCTTGGTTTGGGGGAGAGGAGTGGGTAGAGGTGCACAAACTCACTACTGGATCTTCCACTGCATCCTGACATAAGTCACATGATTGTTCAAAATCTCTAGCCTCTTAACTGCCACTAGCCAATTCTGTTACAGAGTACATCACAAGTTAACAATGATTAGCTGCCTGCCAATTAAAGAAAGTCATTGGTCAGACATTTTCTGCAATCAAATTTGGCTGTGACCCATAGTAAGACAAATATATGTATGGGAGGCAAGTTTGGACGAAGCAAAAGAAAGGTCAGTGTTTGTATTTGCGCTCATATAATAGAAACAGAAAACTAGAAGCAGCCACTTCAAAATTAAGTTCAAAAAAAAAAAAAAATTAGCTCAAAATATTAGCTTTTACATGAGAAAATAATTTAAGCAAGAAGCTATGTTTAATAACCTTTAGCAGTCGTTTGATAAGCTGGAATGCATATCAACTAAGTCTTCCATAGTCATTTATTGATAATAAACATTTTTTGATAAACCCCCTTGACAAGATTGTATTAACTATCCATTGTTATCTTCCTACTACACATCCAACCGCCAAGTCGAAAACGATGTAATACTATAGTGATACAATAATACCAAGAAAATGTTTATACAAAAATTACTGAAGAAAAGTGATATGAAACAGAAGATACAAAAAAAGTTGCAGAACATTCATATCTATGCACATATAAGAAATGTATTGTCAATTAATAAGGACAAATGAAAAGTATAAAAAATCACGAGGGTCATGAGTAGGACAGGTAAAGAGAACCAAAGTCGAAGGACATCAACCCCATGATGGGAGGAAGTTGTTGGAATGGAAGGAAAATCAGAGGAAGTTGAAAGAATAGGAATAAAGAGTAGAAAGCCTGTGCTCTGATCAATTTATATCGAAGGAGCAAAAAAATATCATTTTCACTCTAATCCCCCCACCCCCACCCACCCACCCACACACAGTTTTTTAATCAGTCATTCTG